TGACCTTGAAGACCTCGGTGGATGTGAGCCAAGTTTTAATGGTTCGTTAACATGACCCCACTCTACACCCCAACAACGTTTTAACAGAATTAATTCAACACTTATTGAGCTATCATGTTTACAGATGGTAAAGCCTTTTAAGATTAAAAGTGCTTATAAGTGATTAAAAGTGTGGTTTGTATTGTCAACATATTGAAAGGACTGCATAAAGATTTAAGGATTTTTCTGGAAACCACACAAGGGAGGACAGAAAAATCTCCTATTAATGGCTGTGCCCCATGTTATCTGTCTGACCTGCTGCACCTTTGTGTCCTGCCTCATTCTCTCAGGCCAGTAGACCAGATGCTTTTGCTCGTTCCAAAAGTGCTGCAAAATGCAGGCCTTCTAACCAAAATAATCCAGAGTAAGCTCAGGTTTCAGTCCAGTGGCAATCTCTGAAAATAGGGAGGCAGTTCCGATATGTGAGAGGAGGCTGAAGGAAAATCATATAAGAAAGAACTCTGCTGTAGCTTTCCCACTTACTATGTTACCGTGCCACATGTGTGTGGCAACATTTAGGCATTCATCTAACACAGTAACACTTTTATTAATTACAGATTCAGAAGCCGCTCGCTGTGTGCTCACTGCTGAGAAAAAGAAGCTGAGTTCGGTTCATTTCTGCTTGTTTCATGAAAACTAAGTTACTGAGGAGCAAAGAGTGGGCTCACCGACACACTCGGCATGAAGACTGAGTGAAGAGTTTCAATACAGAGAGTTCTCTCTCGTTCTGATGACATCTCGCCTCCTAAACTCTTCTAGCAGCTATTACAGCCACCGCAGGCTGAATACAGGATTGTTTTTTCCATGTTAATTTTGTGCAGCTCGCAAGAAACTTTGTGTCATAGACTTTTCAATTCACACTTGCCTGACTCATTTAAATATTCTCCACCTGAAAGTAAAACTCTTATAAATACTTCTGCTCGCAGCTTTCAGTCACCGACTCTTCAGCCTTTTCAGTGAATCCAACAGCTTTTTAATGTCAAAAGAAGACTTTGTGCTGCTGCAGACTCCTTCACATTGTAGTTCCTGCACAGTAGACATTCAGCGTCATTATATTAAGGATAGACGAGTTTAATGTCATTACAATTCTCAGCGCACGGCTCCTTTCTTTTCCTAAGTCTTCAGCAGTTCTCTTTCAATGTTGACCACAAGGAGTGTCAAAGGCATCTATGTCCACTGTGAGCGACCATCTTTGAACAGAGGCGGGGGTTTACGACACCAACTCTCTGCCATCTATAATCCAGTTTTGAGATCCCTTCCCAGACGCCTTAACACCCACTCACATCCTGGGCCATCTGACCTCAGGAATTCGCATGATAAGGTGGGGCCAGGTTTCACAATGAACACACCCGAAACTCTGGCTGATTGGGACCCACACCCAGTTTCACACCTTGGCTCAGGCGATTAGAGGATCATCAGGGGGTCCTTTTGTCCCTCTGTGGGGGGATACTCCCACTAGGTTTATATCTGGGACTCTCCACCATTTGACCTAATAGAACTTCTGAGAGGAACGCTCAAACTTAAAGAAGTCCAGACGCTTTTCTTTGCAAGCTCCTTTGACTCGATGACCTGTCTCTCATTTAGAGGAGTGTGGCAAAGCTATAATCAGAAGATCCAGACGCTTTGACTGCATCTACTATCCTCTCATCTGACCTGACGCAATCGTTACCTAATCGCGTATCTCATCCGCACAATGTAGAACCTTTCACAGGACAGACCACCAAATGATAGTCGTTACAAACAATTAAAGAAATTAATAGCCAGAGCAAGCCCACAAGTAACTGCAATCTCAAAATTCTTAACATCTTCAAAGATCCACCTGTAAATCAGACACAGCATACACACGATAATTTTTAGATGCTAAAATATCTTCTCTGGG